CCCGGGCTGGGCCTCGGGGCTGGAGGCGGGGGGCCCGCCGTGGCGGGGTGGAGGGATTTGGGGGTGTGGAGGAGAGCGAGGGGAGGTTGGGGAAAGCTTTTCGGGAGCCGCGAGGGGAGCGAGGGCGAGGAAGCGGGGAGGGTGCGTGTGTGGGAGGATGTGGAGCGGGGAGACCGGTCTCCGGTGCTGAGGGAGTGTGGGGTGAGAAGTTCGGGTTTGGGGCAGGGATGGTCCGCGAAGGTGACCGTGGATCCCCGTGGGAAGGGGGGTTGTGGTGGGGAAGCGTGTTGGGTCGCGGCGTGTGGAGCCAGAGCAGGGGTTTGTGGGAGGTGTGTAGAGGAAGGGGTTTGGCTGTATTTGGGAATGGTGGGCATGGATTATTTGGAGTACTTTTTTTAGTTTCTTGGGGTGATAATTCTTTACTTTGCCTTCATCCCAAGGGTCCTAGTCTTTCCTTGTTAGCACTGTTGAACTAAGGAGATGATCACGGGGTATTTGCCTCCACATTGGCCAAGCAGAGCCCCCTTACAGATTTGGGGGTACACCTTGGACCGGACCATCAGCTCTCTTGCTCTTTTAGGACTTGTACGTAGTGATGCATCAGACTTAAATACAGCTATCATTCACTTTTCTCATTTAGCATGGTGTTTAGGTGTTTATTAGAATTGTACAGCTCCTCAAGAAAAACCATTTTTGAATTCTGGTGGAATTTGTAAAAACTTTAGAAGAGTCGTCTATATAAGGACGTTTTTTAAACTCAAAGACTCAGGGGAGGTAATGCCCCTTGTGCGGTTCTGCCCTTCGAACAATTTGAACGAATAACCCAGAAATAAAAGGTAAAACAGCATTCTCTTTCTCTGGAGTGTTTTCAGAGCAGTCTCATTGTGACTTCACACATAGTCCATATGGTACTTTGTCAGGGATATCTTTAAAAGGGAAACACCTCATTCTCTGCACTTTCTCCCCCAGTATACTCCATTGGGAGTACCTGTTTTACCAGTAAAGCAGTTTTACTTTCTTTTAGAAGTTCAGAGTATGTTTAGAAAACCAAATAAAATATACAGCCCAAGGGCTAGGACACTATTTGGGAGCTAAGAAGGTGATTTTAAAGCATGGCTTCCTTTTAAGGACTGTGTGAGTGTAGTTATACTCAGTAAAATAACTTGTCAGAGCTAATCATATTCCAATTAAAAATCACTCATTTTTATCCTATTTTACTTAAAAGTTCTGGTTTTTGAAAACAATTGAGGTGAAGTATTTATTAAAGCATAAGTTTATTAAAATAATTTACAGAAATTTTAGCATTTCATTAAATACAATTTAATGCTTAGTTTAATTTTTTTTAAATTGATGTTATACAAATGCATACTAATCTGAATCATGCTGTTAGTATCTTTTATTTGGCTTTTTAAAGCTCAGGGTCAGTCAGGGAGTATAGTGGAAAAGAGCCTTGGACGTAGATTCTCAACTCAGCCACTAGACTAGTTGTATAATCCTGGGTGGGTCACTGTAAAAATGGAGAATTGGAGTAGATGAAATCTAGTTCTCCGAACTCTAAAAATCTCTCATTTTAGGAGGAACTTTTCGGTGTTCTCTGCGAAAGAGAATAGACATTTGTAGACCGCGTCCTTCATGCTACTGCTATACTAGCAGAACTCTTAACTAGAAGTAAGAGAGGTGGCAGTGTCTCCATTTTATTGATGAATAGAAGTTTCCTAGCTCAGTTTCCATACTAGCAGTTTGCAGGGTTGGGATGCAACCTTAAAATCTCACTAACTAATGCTCATGTTGTTTTCACATGTTGCATTGCTGCCTTTCCATGAACCTTTAGATTTTCATCATATTTTTTGTTCACAGAAATCTGGTTCCAAGTGTACTTTGGGTATATATTTGTAATATAAGGATGAAGTCATTCAAAGAAGATGCCAGTACCAGGACTTAAGGTTTTATTGAGAATCTGTTTTGTTATGCTCTAGAGCAGAATCTAGTTCCTGGATGCCTACTATGGTTTGATACAGAAGGCACCTAAAAATCTATTGAATAAATGAATAACATAGGAAGTCACAGAAATTTGGGAGATCTGTTGTACTGATAAATGATTCTTTATGAATTTGTCAGATTCTAAGGGAATTGCTTAGTGTTTTCACAGAACTTAATATCTAATTTCATGTTCATAAATGAGATATTAATTATAAATTTTGATGCAGTTCTTTTTTTTAACACCTTTATTGTGGTAAATGCTGTTCTTTTCATATTCTGAGAACTGTACTTTCTTGTATCAGTGGAAATGTCGCTTGTTGCTGCCTCATATCAAAAAATACAAATTCTGTATAAACGTTATTACTATTTTTTGCACATAATGATAAATATCCCAAAGTAAGATTGTATTGTTAAGAATTAACTTGTCCCCATAACGTTTTAGCTAGAATCCACCAAAAGTTAAAATGTAATATAAAAACTCCTTAGCTGTCATCAGGGACTCTTTCTATTCTGAGATACGTAATTCTGTGATCTGTTGTAGTCAGTATCTGTGATCAAGTTTTTCAGCTGACGATTTCATACTCTCAAGGTTCTTAATAACTTTGGTTAAGAGTATGTTCAGATTCCAGCTCTGTCACCAGTGGTGGAGGCCTTGGTCAAGTTACTTGGTCAGGTCTCAGTTTACTTATTTATAAAAAAGGGAAAATAATACCTTCCTCAGAGATGTTAGTATTAAGTGAGGTAATGTATGTACCATGTTTACTGTGGTACCAGTGAGTAATAGCTGTTAGTAGTTTCTCTTTTGAAAGTTTGCTTGCTTTAGGGCAAAGGTGGGTATTTAATCGAAGCTGCATGAGAATTGATGACTACAGTTCCCAGATAATATAAACACTATCTTGCCACATAAGTAATTATGCTCTTACATATTTTAATGATTGTTTAAACAGAATTAACAGCCTTTTTTTTTTAGAGTTCCACTGATGGGGTTAACCAAAGCCTTAGGGTGTCATTGTCAGAGTAAATGCATAGAATGTGGAAGTGGAGGAGAGTAAGAGAGTAAAACAGAAAAAGGGGGAGGAAGAGGTGGCTAAG